ATATATATATATATGTTCAGCAACAGATGAGGGGATCAAGAAAATGTATTTATACACAAGGGAGTACTACTCCACAAAAAAGAAAAACTTGAAGCACTTTAATTTGAGAGGTTTGCATCAGTTTTATGCAAGCAAATGTCTACACTTTCAGCTTTTAATGTTTACTTCAACAGTATATATTTTTAGTGCCTTTTATGTTTCACCCAACATTAGTAGACAATTTTATGATTTTTATTTGGCTTTCTGTCATTTCTGTTTTCTAGGACTTTGCTGCTTATTTGGCATTTTGTGGTATTGTTCTTCACAATGCTCAACTCTATGAAACTTCACTGCTGGAGAACAAGAGAAATCAGGTAAGTATAGTACTAAAAGGAGAGAATAGGCATCCTTTGTTAAAATATTTTCAATTTTTAATCCAATGGCAGCGCATGAAGAAAAATCATACAGTCTCCATTTCTAAATGTGTTAGCAGTGTCTTCTAATATTTATAGCTACTTCTGTTTTCTATTCTTCATGCTTGGTTGCTTTAGCACTGTTAGATAATAGTCCTTGACTTGAAAGGTAAGTACTTGTCCTTTATCATTCTTTACTTTCCATTACCCTAACCCTACCAGCTTCATTAAATAATTGTTCAAGGTTACTGCATGAATAATGTTTTTTAGTTCTTGCTTTGGCAACTGGAGACTTTACTTTTCACTTTAGCATCCCTGTCTTTCTCTTTATGTCTTTCCCAACTACCACATCATAGCTCTGCTTTTGCCATTGGATTTCTTCTGTTTTGCCCACACAGATAGCATATATATTGTTCTACAACCACCAAGATGAATTGTTCTTAAGCTTTGTCTATCTTAATTCTAAAGTTGCAATTTAAAATAATGTGTCTCTTTTTACTATGACTATATAAATACTAGTTACCTTTATTGTGACTTTTATTTTTCCTTTTTCCCACTAGAACTGTTTGCTCTTGTGTAGCCTTATGTTTTTTGTGTTTTTCCCTCCCCAAAGAGTCCCTGATATTAGGACTTTTCTTGTGTTCTTCTCCTGGAGATGTCAAATTGGAGTTCTCTACCTGTGTTCTTCCAGCTAAGCTCTTCTACTCATGTCTGCTGCACGAAGTCATCAGAAAACTTTCCTTCACTTCGTTCTTAGAAAGATGCTTTTATTTTTTTTTAATCCTTATAAATTTTTCTTGCTCAGTTCCTCCTGTCTTTTGTTCCAACACATTCTTAATTAAATATTATGGAAAACAATACTAGGAAATCAGGTATGGTGGTGCATGCTTGTAACCTCAGAACTCTGGGAGGCTGAGTTAGGAGGATTGCAAAGTAAAGCCAAGCCTGGGCAACTTAGTGTCTTAGTGAGAGCCTGTCTGTAAAAAATAAGAAAGAATTAGGCATGTAGTTCAATTCAAAGACTCTGGGTTCAGTTCCCCAGTACTGTGAAAAAAAGAAAGAAGAAAAAGGAAGAAGGGAAGGAGTGAAAAAGTAAGGAAGGGAAGGACAGACATGAAGCGTGTGTCTTAGTTACTTTTCTTATTGCTGTGACAAAATATCTGACACCCAAAGTTAAAAGAGGACAAATGAATTATGTCACACAGTTTGTAAAAGTTTCAGTTCATAGTTGGTTGGCTACAAAGCATGGGGACATGACAGAGGGGCACTGCAGAGGAGAAACAGTTCATGATGGGCAGAAGGCAGCAAAGCAGTGAAGTAGTGAAGCAGCAAGCAGCAACCACAGCAGCCCTTTCACTGTTCCTTATATTCTATTCAGGTTACCTGGCCTTAGGCTGGTAGCACTTACACCCAGGTTGGGGCACTATTATTTTAGCATTGCGCATGAGCCAATCCTACCATCACATTCTTGATCCCTGCATCACACACTCTAGATCCAGTCATCTAGTAAAAGTTGTACTTATGACTGCATGATTCTTTGAGGGGACATCTAGATATCAGCTAAGTGGGGAGGATGAGAATGAATGAGTTTTAATTAGCAAGGTAAACTTTCTGAATCCTTGCAGGTATGAAAATATCTATTTTACCCTCCTACCACTTTGCCTCCAATTTTAAAAATCTTTCTCCAGTTTTTATAATATTTATTTTGTTTCTTTTTAAATTTTTATTCATACATATTTGCAGTACATAATATTCACATTCATCTTCTGGAGTGGGTATGTGTACAGAACATTCAGTATATTGATTCCTTTTATTCCCCTTCCACGCCCCCACTGACCTCTCTCTCTTCCTCTCTGGGTCCCCTTTCCACATTTCATTATTATATTATTATTTCATGTTTATGACATATAAAGATTACATTCATTGAGTGTCATTGGTACACATACATGATGCATCTTAAATATTTTTGTGTCTCCTTTTCCCTCCCCCACATCTGGACTCTTGGTCCTCTTCCCATTTGCAAAAGATCTGTCTTCCCAGTTTTTTAATCACTCTTTTATTTTACTCTTTATTTGTACTTTCAAATTACTCAAGTGAAAGAAACTATACAGTATTTGAGCTTGTGTGTCACTTAACATCATGTTTTCAGCATGTCTCCATTTTCCTACAGATGTAATGAGCATCCATGTTATTCCAATTCTTGAGTTGTTGTAACTATTTTGTTAGTTATCTACTATATGTAAATATATAATGCATAATATACTTTCAAGTTATGCATAATACATATTTTGTATATTGTAAACTATGGATTTCTGTTCAGAAACTTTTGAAGTATTTAGCTTTGTTTTCAGAACTTCATTTCATAAGGTGACTTTTTCAGTCATCCTGCTGGTACCTGCATGTCAGGTCAGCACTTTGAGCCTGGAGACTTAAGTGACCCCATTAGTTCTGTGCAATTCCTTTGTCATTCTTTCTTTTTCTTTTCTTTTTTTTTCTCTTCATTTTTTTAGAACTCATGCTAACAAGATATTGGACTTTCAATTGCCTCTAGTTGCAGGATCTTCTAAATCTTCTGTTCCATTCTTGCCACCTTTACCCAGTCCTCATGTTTACAAACACAAATATGACCATGTCACTTCCCTCCTGCATCTATCACAGAACAAATTGCTTCAAAATCATACGGGCTCTGAGGATCCTTCTCAACACCGCATTCTCATCACCTGGTTCTCTATATTCTTTGCTCCCATAACCTTTGATCAAAACTTTCAATATTCTGCTTTTTCTCAATTCAGTTCTTTTTTTCTTGAACAATTTCCCTTCCACGTTTCATCTGATTGTTTTCTGATCATCTTTCTCCCATTACATAAATTCTTTGTGAGATCAGAAGAAATTCTCTGGCTTTCAGGGGAAAGAGGCATTTCAGAAGACACAAAGGGAACTCTTAAACTTTACCTTGAATAAAGTTTATTTCTTAGTCTTAAATATTCATAAAGTTAATTAATGTTGATCTCATAAATTTGGATCAATAGCAGTAACTGTATATAATGTATCAGATATTTTTCATAGTGCTTTATAAATGTTAAATTATTCAAAACTCACTGTTCTCACAAAACTGACCATCAGTCACAAACCTAGCAGGAAGGGAAGTCAGAATTAATGACTCATTAATCTGACTTCAAAGCCTGTGATTTTAACCATTGTACTAAACCTCACAATCATTAGGGAGTTTCGTTAGTAAGCAGAAACAAGTTTAATACTTGAGTTGAGACTTGATCATAACTTTCTAGATTATATGAACAGCATAACCCTTGAAAATCTTTATTTTGCTTTATTAATTACAAATAACTTCAGAGTAATTAGCTGTTCATCTTCCTTGTCTAGGTGCTGCTGGACCTTGCTAGTTTAATTTTTGAAGAACAACAATCATTGGAAGTAATTCTGAAGAAAATAGCTGCCACTATTATTTCATTTATGCAGGTGCAGAAATGCACCATTTTCATAGTGGATGAAGACTGCTCCGTGAGTACAGAGTATGGCTTTTTCATTTTTAGAAAGACAGAATCTTACTTTTCTGAAAGCACAGCTTCAAAGCTTTATTTTAGCCTCAGAACCCTCTCTCGAAAGCACCTGTATAAGAATATTTAAAGTAGATCAGAGTATGGGCTGTTCTCCTTAAATGGAGCTGGTGGTGAGAGTGGAGATGCTTTTCGTGCTGGCTTTCGCCCGTGTCCCTAAAACTAAGCAGGTCTGGTGAGAAGAAACATCTGTGAGCTGCTTGTCAGTGACTCCACTGTCTGGAAGGAGAAATGCATTGTCACTGCATAGTGCTAACTTCACACAGTCAGGAGTGGTGGTGCTGGAGTTGCTGTGAACAGTTAGACACCCACTATGGAATGGGTTGGATATAATCCTTTGTTTTTACCACAAATTATTTAGAACCAGAAGCTGAAGCCCAGTAGAGGCTGATATTCAAGGTACTTGTGAGTGCAATATCCTTTACCAACAATGGAAAACCTCTAATGTATAATTGGCTGGTTTCAGTCCATTGATGTGTAATGTGAAGAAACGCCTCCTGGTGTGTAGAGAGAGATGGGGCTCCAGAGAACTGCTTGCTTACCGACAGGCCATCTGCCTTGAGTTTCCTGAGTCAGATCTCAACCTATGAATTGCTGCTTCTAGAATACTGCTTTTTGATGTGGTGGTTTACTTTTTTCCATTAGTCTGAGACTAGGCTTTGCATTGGTAAGCTGCTAGGAAAGAAAGGGACACTACCACTTGTGTGTAGATCAGTTTGAATCCAGGTATAATATTGGAATTGATGTGGTTAGGGGAAATTCAATAATAAAATGTATTTGATAATCTTTATTAAAACTTTTACATGTGTTTAGATATTAAGCCTGTAGGATCCATTATCATCTGAATCATTTTGTATGAATGTATATGTCAGGTTGAATGGGTTGATTAATAAAAAATTCTTATTAATAGGATATCAAATGAGAATGCCCTGTGCTTAAAAAAGATACTCAGCATTTTCTTAGATACTATTTCCTATTTTCAATCAGTTATAAAATCCTTAGTGTAGAGGTGATTACAAGATACCTGCTAGCTTTTTAAAGTTCAGGTCAGAATTCATTACTGCAATATGTCAGTTTACCATTTTTGCTCTGTGACCTGCTCTTTAGAATTTAATTTTTGAAAGTTATACACGAAGCATTTCCATTTAAAACAACTTAAATATCACTTTAATTAACATTCAGGGCAAGCTTCTCCCAGTTAGCCCCTATCATGGTAGTGAACTGACTTGGATCAGTGATGTTTTGAACTACAATTCAACAATGTTCCTATAAACATATTCTGCTTGCTTTTTGACATTTTAAGTTGCTGGGTTTAGAAAAGAAAAGAGATGACTTGATGCTCATTACAGTTATTACAGTGCCATTACTATAATGACATTACAGTTATTTAGAGTTAAAATATTCAACATTATCAAAAATAAAAAAATGTAAGCCTCTGAAAGTATACTTAGCTTCTTCCCTTCACCAGTTGTGCTGTCATTTTCTTTGTTTCTTTCCAGTTCTTCTTTATTCAGTTGTAGATATAGCATTGATGCAAATAGGTGTTTTCCTTCTTAAAGTAATTTCAAAAATATTACTATGTTATTAAAGACTTCATCATTATTTTAATTGTCTCATAAAATATTACTGAGTGGTACTTCTCATTAAGAAAGGATTCGATTCCTGGGATTTGATAGCATTCATCAATGTATGATTAAAAGCCCAAACTTGAGAATTTAAAGCAAGCATGCAGAAATTTTGAAATTAGTGTATGCACTAACACCCAATGGAAAAAAACAAACAAATGAAAGGGCACTCAAGCCTTCTTGCAAGTTAAAATCAGAAATAATATGAACAAAGCTATTAATAATGGGACTTTGAGGATGCTATTGATGAATACTGGGATTACTTCAGTTGGGAGTAAGTATAAATATATTACAAGAATTGATGCCTTTAGTGAATTGCACTGCGCACGTGTATGGCTTTCATTACCTTATCAAACTTCAATCTCTGTTGTCACTTTGTTTTTAGGATTCTTTTTCTAGTGTGTTTCACATGGAGTGTGAAGAATTAGAAAAAGCATCTGATACTTTAACAAGGTAAGTTAACCTATTCTCTATTTGTCTTTATCATAGGTATATTATCCTGGCCAGATTGTTATTTCATTCCTAGTTTGATGTAAGACATAAGTGATAGGCTATGTTTCTCCCCCCACACAAATAATTTTAGTTGTCAGAATACTTTATTTGATGTTAGTAGTTTTTCCACTACATTGATTCACCTGAGAATTATTTCATACAGTGAATAGCATTACAATGTGTGTAGGGCTCAGTATAGTATTGTTATGAACTAGTTTTAAGATCCACAAGCACTATATTTCAATTATATTTTTTCATTTGCACAATTGATCTGTATTAGTTACTCTTCTGTTGCTGGGACAAGTACTGACACATACAACTAACGGGAGAAAAGGTTTATTTTGGCCCATGTCTCAGAGGTTTCAGTTCTTGGTCAGCCATCTCTAAGGCAGAAATGGCATGTGAGGAGGGCATGGTGCAAGAAAGCTGCTCAAGCCATGGCAGTCAAGAGTCAGAGTAGAGGAAGAGTGCTGGAGAGGAGGGGCCAGGGACCTGATATAGACTCCAAGGTCGTGCCCCATAACCCATTTCCTCCACGTAGGTCCTTCTTCCTAATAGCCCAATCAGTATGCAATCGCCAGTGGGTGCACCCATCCATGAGGTCAGTGCCCTCACAATGCAGTCACCTCTCTGCGAGTCTCCATAATGTAGTCAAGTTAACACTCATCATAAACAGACACAGACTATTACTGGAAATTTCATCGATTTTTGAGCAAACTCTTCTATAAACAAAATTGGAATATAGTACTTGTGGATCTTAAGTGAACTTGCTCACAATAATATTATACCTAAGGGCCAGGGATTTGGCTCAGTGGTTCTGCTGCCTGCCTTGCAAGCACAAGGGCCCGAGTTCGATACTCAGTACAAAAAAAAAGGGGGCGGGGGTTTAGCTCAGCAGTTCGGTGGCCTGCCTTGCAAGCGCAAGGACCCGAGTTCAATCCCCGGTACCCCCCCAAAAAATGTTTCTGTAAATAATATTATACCTAGCTCTACACAAATTGTAACACCATTCACTGTATGAAATAATTCACAAATAGGTCAAAATTTGTTCTGATTTGGAATTAGCCATTAGAATTTACCTAATAGTAAAAGGAAGCTTATGAGCCTGATCATAAAGTATTTGTTCCCACTGTCACTAAAGCATGTTATATCTCTGTTGTCATTTAGTTATTTTCCATTGTTTTGGTTATTTTAAAATTTGTGTTCATTTTGCTGATAATTCTTACTCATAAGTGATCTAATATATTTATATGATGGGGGATACAGATGATATTGTCACAATTTTGTACATGCTACTCTTGGAATAGATTTAAAATACCAAATGCTATTACTCATATTTCTTTTTTTCCCCTCTTAGCAAATAGTTAGCATTGTTTGATAAGTGAAAGTGGATGTTAAGCAATTTAAGTGCTAAGGAATGTAAATCTGGAAAGATAAAGTATCAGGAATTCTTGGGCATAATGTCATATTATTTGTGTGTGTGTATCAAAAACTATTTTACCCCTGATTATTACTACTAAATCTAAAAGCCTTCTCCATGGCTTTTAACTTGGTATTACATGGTGTTACAGTTCCAAATTTTTTCACCTGAGTAGACTTAATGCAGTCAGAGTTATAACAATTAATATAGTCTTCAATTAACTAAGCTCCTTGTTGATGGTGCTTTAAAAATAACCTCTGTGAACATCTATAGAATATTCTCTCAGATAAGTTTCCTGGTTTATGTAAACTGTCAATACCTCTGAATAAACTAGGTAAAGACTAATGTTCTTGAAGAAATAAAAAACAAATGCAATACTTGAACTTTATTGAGATTACAGTAGTTCAAAACAACGAGAGTTATTAAAAGCATTTTTTGTGGACACAATTGAAAATTTTAATATGGACCAGATACTAGCCCATAACAGGGAATTTCTTTATGTTTCTTTGGAATTAAGAAGATAGTGGCATCAGTAGGAAAATATTCTTATTGGGATCTCTCTTTTTTTTTTTTTTTTGGTACTGAGGATTGAACTTGGGTCCTTGCACTTGTGAGGCAGGTGGTGGAACCACTGAGCTAAATCTCAAAAATTTTAAATGTTGAATCCAGGAGGAATATGTTCACTTTACTTTCAGGTTTCTTGTACAATTTCTGTATATTCAAATAGTTCACTTAAAAAAAAGAAGAAAACGTTTGTAGTAAAAAATAAGACATAGAATAAAAGGAAACTCATCTCTACATTATATAACTTATAACTGCTGAGTTTACAGCCGCAAGAGCATAATACTTCAGTGCACAGGCTGGTTTTGTCCTGAGACTCTTAAGTAAGATTGGGCCCGAAGATCTCCGTGGGGGCTGTGGAAAGTGTCTTCTGTCCTTGCCCTCTGTCTGTGCCCTTTCCTTTCATCATCCCTCCTATCTTCTCTCATACTTCCCATCCTAAGAAGGATGGAGAAAGTATTGACCTCAGTGAGTTAAAGTTGTTAGTCTAAGTGTGTGTATTTAAATCGAACCTGGTTATTGATTATTCCTAGACCACTATTTTTTTTTTTTTTTTTGGTACCAGGGATTGAACTCGGGTCCTTGCGCTTGCAAGGCAGGCCACTGAACCGCTGAGCTAAATCCCCAGCCCTCTAAACCACTATTTTAACAGTAAATGAAGGACCTTTTCACACATTAAAATGATTTTTTAATTAATAAAGGAGTGGGATGTAAGTTGGAGGAATTCTGTGGACTCAGAAGATAGATCTGACTGCTGACTTGGGTATGAGGTGCAGAGTCAAGGCAGATGCCCCATGGTCTCTCTTTCCAGAGATCTTTCTGCTACCCAGATGTTTGCGGTTCCCATGGTCACAACTGAGTAGCTGGCCTATTTCCCTGTTGGCCTTGCTGGTAATGAGCTGAAGGCTGTAACCCATCTCCACTCCCATTCCTTGCAAGTCATGCGTGTTCTGGCATATTTGACATTGTTTTACGTAGTAGTGAAGCTTTTTTGAATGTGTGGAACTATGTGCATGTCCTGGTGTTGAGGCTATTCCTCGTGAGTACTGCTAAGCTCAGTTGTGATGTTTCTTCTTCTTAGGAGAAGCAAAATAGATTATCTTGATTTGATGATGGTATCTGTGTTGCATTTTTAAAACATAATTTTGGAACATTTCTAGACAAAATATGTAAATGCAGTATTTGAATATTTTACTTTTGGGATTTTATGTTACATATAAATATGCATATAAAATGTTGCAAACATACAAAATATGTAAATATGTATCTATATACATTTATCTCCATTTTACAATTGGAAAATTGCATGATGGTGCTTATTAAAAGTATACAGTGATTAATCATCCAGATTTACCTTTGCATATTTATGCAGCAGTCGCATAACTAATTGTATTTTCTACATTGGCACTTTTATTTTTATTATAAATTCAGTCAGGTATAATTTTTAGTGATAGCGGAACAGACCCAGAGACCTGGTGTAATAGTGACCTCTACTGGTTAAATGTACATTTTCAAAAAAACAAAAATAAAATCTCACTATATGATTTTTTTTTTTTCTGAAACTACTGACTCCAGAAACTTAAAATCCTTAGCTTGTTAAGTGTGTATGTTAAAATAAAAACTTATTGTCACTAAGGGTCGGGGATTTGGCTCAGTGGCACAGTGCCTGACTCGCAAACGCAAGGTCCTGAGTTCGATCCCCTGTACTCCCTGCAAGAAAAACATTGTCACTAGAATATTGTCTAGTAATGACAGTAGTTCTTTCTTTGTAAGTCCAGTGAAGGTTATTTTTCCATTTACAATATTTTAAGTATTTCAAGACAGTCTTAGTATAAAGAATTTTTATAAAAGATAATTAGCTTAGTATGATTGCCTTAAAAGAGACTAAATTTACTGATTTTACAGTAATAAAATTCACTTTGTTAATGGAGTATGCCAGCTAAATATTTTTAAATTAGACTTTATTCTACTGGTACAGTAAAAGACCTCATTGTCATGTGATATTATTTTGTTAAAATTTAATTTAATATTTATATGACAGGCTAATTTTGTGAAAAGTGAACCAGAACCAGTGTTTAGTAACCTCAGCGTTTTGAAAATGGAATAAACAGATATTGATACCTATTCATTAATAGACTATTATATTTCTAAAACTGATTATGAATTAAATTTAACACTCTCCAATTCTTATAACCAAACACTTTTCAAGATAAGATGCTGGGTGTTTTCGTGTCAGTAGTTAGTACATTATTCTTTTTAGGCAGCTATTTATGAGTTGGAAATCATTCTTGAGATTTTTCCAACCAAGCCTAATTATTGTTTATAACTTAAAGTAATATATTAACCATAATTTGAGCTGTTAAGCATAAAATTTAAAATATTCAAGGTAATATTGTACACCTTTACTAGCATCATATTATTAGTGGGAAGAAGCACAGTACATTCTGGGGTTGAGGTCCTAGGAATTCCAAAGGAAAGCGCATTTCTGGGTGGCAGGGTGTTTTAGTTTCTGTGCTGCAGTTCAGAGTGGCAGCCAGTTAGAAGGAAGAAGTGAATACGAACCTTGTACACTTTTTATTAGCTCTTTATTTGGAGACATAGCTATTGAGTGGTATAATTCCATACTAATTAACTTCATGCTCTTTATAAAAACACATTCTTAGCACATCATAATCATAAAGTGACAGGTAAATAGAATTAATCTTTTAGCACTTATCATATTAGAAAGCTTTTGCACAGGAAAAGAAACCACATAGTGAGGAGAAAACCCACAGAATGAGAAAAAAATTTTGCCAGCTGTTCCACAGGCAAAAGATTAATATCTAAAATACATAAAGAACTGAAAAAAATCAACCAAAGACCCAATCCAAAAATGGGCATCTGAAATGAACAGACACTTCTCAGATGAAGTAGAAATAGAAAATAAGTGTGAAAAATATGGTCGACATCATTAGTCATTCGAGAAATGCAAATTAAAATA